CGCAGTCAGATTTCAGGATCATTTGCAAGTTTTGTCAACAGACTATCAAAACATGACATATCTCATGACACATACCTCTATAGGTCCGGCAGACGTCGACGAAAGACGATCCGAGGCACTTCAGACGACCGCCCCGGGTCACCCAACTCGCTTGGGGAATTCTCGAGCGCGCGAGAATAATATTTACTTTGTTCTCGGTGACAATATAGCCCTTGGCGCAACAAATACATTTTCTGGACGCTGTGATAGCAACACTTCACGGAGTCTGGGTATCAAGTATTGAAGTGAATTAGTGAAATTATGTTAGCTTTGAATGCAATGCGCTTTAATTCGAGAGCGGATGGTAGTGGCAATGTTTTTCACAGAATAATGCTTTTAAGCATGGCCATGTCGTGATAATAATGCTTGTTCCGAATGATAAGGGAGCCCTCTATAGCACTCATTACAATCCAAAACGTATTCGTAACACTTAATACAGATTAGAAACCGTATTTACGGTGTCGCAGTCTGTAGCTGTGGAGTCTCAATCCGTGATCCGTAATCACCGTATTGCGATCCATAACTACATTGTCTTAATCATTCGCAATCAGTTATCCGTAACTGCGGAGTTTGAATCCGTAATTCGCAATCCGTAAGCATGGTTTCGCAATCCATAATTACGGATTTCCAATTCGTGACTACTGAATATCAATCCGTAATTCCAGATTCGCAATCCGTAATAATGAATTGGTAAGGATCACAATCCCGAATTACGGATTCAGACTCAAGATCCGTCGGTTGATAACGAATCCCCAATTTGTACTGATGATTTAGGTGGGCCTAATGTTCACAATCCTTTCTAGTAGACAGACAGCAAACTCATTATTACGTATTCGTAATTTACGGATTGTGAATCGCTACATTTTGGAGGAGTGCGGCGGCCTAGTGTGGTTAGGGTATGTGACTCATGATCAGGGGGTCAGTGGTTCGAATCGAGCTGCTGGTCACACTGTTGTATCCTTGGGCGAGTCGCTTTACCTCCACTTGCATCTGTCTCCACCAACGAGTAAACGTGTGTACTGGCATTAGCTGAAGAGAAACCTTCGATGGAATCCCAGCCAATAGAAGTATTCTCAATCGTTTCGTGCAGAAAACCACGCCGGAGATAAAACGCCAGCCTGACCGGCCATTTTGGCTCGTGACAGACATAACTTTTTAGTAATCCCTAAATTCGGCATAATGAACAATGGTGCATGAATGATGTACTTACTAACTTTAAGCACGGTCCTTTGACCAAAAAAAATTACATTCAATTACAAGATTCTTGGTAAAAAAAAAATTCTTGCTCAATCAAATCAAAATTATGACGAATCATCAAGAAATAAATTACAGGTAGCCTGTTTTATTCTCAAACACCTTTGCTTAATGTACTTGACAATCGTAAATAAATGATAAGCACATTACCTATTTTAGGTAATAACATTTACAAATTTAAGCAATTTTTTACATAGGCTTGTACCAATAAATAGCGTACATGCAAAACAGAAACCAATCTATATACATGATACATTGATATGAATATTGGTCGAGAAACACATTTCTTAATAATAAAAAAAATCATCATCAGAATATTCAAAACAATCAAAGACGATGTCAATGAAGTGAAAGCTTTTTTTCATATTCCACTACAGTGATTATTAATTTGTATATTACCGGAGCATTTTAAATGCTTAAAAGACTATTGGGACTTTGAAACAAAATTAATACATGACTAAAATCTTAAAAGGAAAGATCACGTATTTCTTAACCCCATTAAGAAAAATAGCTGAACTTCCATCACGTCAAGGAAATGCTTATCGGTGTGTCTTGAAAGTTATATCTGGCACTAAACTCCAGGGAATCCTTTTGGCTATTAGATGAGCAACGGCAATCGAAACGTCTTTCACACGTATGTGCATGCCTTAAGGGAAGCTATTATTCAAAGTGCAGCGAATAGAAGCAATACGGCTGACACGTCAAAACACCTTATTGTGTTCGTTCAATGCAATAGCTCTTTCACTTAATGACGTCAAGAGTTTTGCAATTTTGCAAAATCTCCTTGTTTTCTTCTTTTTTTCTATCCAGCTCATGTAGCGCGTTGTACATGGTTGGCCATACATAATGTTTTCATCGTTGTATACCTATATGCGTAGAGTTCGGTCAGTGACCACTCTTTGAAAGAGCTGAATCCAGCACTTTTAATATTCAATCCAGCATTTTAAATGTTAAATCCAATATCTGAAACACTGTAAATGTTGATTTAGCACTTCCAAAGTGAACGCTTTGAAACTGTTGAATTAACACTTAAATTGTTGAATCAACAGTATCAGTATTGTTGAATCAACAGTATCAGTATTGCATTGAGCATTTAAAATACTTGATTCAATTTTTAAAATGCTGGATTCATTCAATACTTTATAAAAGTGGTCACTGACCGAACCTATGTAAATTTTGGCTTCAACACTTTTTTCAGAGTGTAGGAAGCATCTTTTGTTATGTTACAGGGTAATCCTATTTTGAAAACGTTTGGGCCAAGTTGAATATGCAATTGAATTGACAAGTGACAGTCATAGTGGGGCTGACAGGGGAATAGCTTCATAAATGTGGCCAATTTACTGGACTACCTCCGTAAATAAAGGCCACACTTCCTCCATGTACAAGAACATGTCGAAGTTTGATTTTCACATTTAGACTTAGTTTGTAGTTGTATTTTTGCTTTAGAAGCATACTCACCCTCTTTATAGGCTAATCAGAAAGTGCTGCCTTTTTCAGATGTCTATTTTTCGTGAAATTTCCGGATTCTTTTGCACTCGTTTGCGTATCAAAATTTCAACATCAAATTTCACGAAAATAAGACATCTGAAAAAGGCGGCACTTTCTGATTAGCTATAAAGAGGGTGAAGCAAAAATAAACGACAAGCTAAGCCTAAATGTGAAAATCAAAATTTTAAAAAGTTCGACATATTTTTGTACATGGTGGAAGTGTGGCCTTTATTTACGGAGGTACCGGGTAGTCCAGTAAATTGGCCACATTTATGGGGCTAACAGGTGAAGTACTTGGGGGATTTGTGCCTTCGTTGATACAAGACCAAATGCATGGCATTTGGCACACAGTCAGCGTATGTCTTAAGGAAGATATTTGGTTACAGGGCAATCGCAGATTTATCCTTCGAAAAAAAACATAGATAGAATAATAAGCAGTTTTCAAAATTTTCAAAATGGCTGCCATTGCTTGTTTTTCTACCTATATATTTTTTCAAAGGACAAATCTGCGTTGGCCCTATAGCCAAATATTTTTCTCATGGCATAAACTGACTGTGTGCCAAATGCCATGCTTGTATTTTCTAAGGCACAATCCCTCCACCAATCTGCCGTATTATCAGTGAGTCAGTCAGTGAGTCGGTCAGTCAGTCAGGTGTAATTTAAAGAGGTCTATCCGCTCCGTTCACAAGTTTCCCCTCACCGGCAAAGGAACTACAGTTGGGGGTGACCGACCGACGCCATCTTGCCTGACTGCAATTCATTTGCCGCGAAGCGCGGCCACTGCGTGTAAATAGAACAAATCCCCTGGTGTACGTGCGTCACACGCAAGGAACGGTGCGCGTCAACCAGCGAAATGTCCCGCCCATGGGACGTCGTTGCTTGGTAAAAGGGCGCCCTCTTTTGGTAGCGCACGGAGCTCATAGGGTGCCCCTCTGGGACCAGTAAAACAACAGCAAATATACTACACGCTTACAGCAAATCAAGAAACAAAAATGACATTTCGGCTGAGGTATTACAATAGCAATTGTGCATATAGTATGCTAGGCTAAGAAATGCCACTTGTAAAAAATTCAGACAGTTTTAAGTTTGTTTTATGGTTATCAGTGATATAGGCAACGGTTGGCAAGTTCATCGTTTGGGTAACAAAATATAGCTTAGAAGATATCAGCCACGAAACAGTCAAAACGAGTACATGTAACGAAGATTAATGGATTTTATGCCCAGCAATTTTGGACAGTTGAACGGTATAGGAATATTCCTATCCGCAAGGTTTTCTCTGCACCACCGGCACGCAAGAGGCTCGGCTCGGCCGTGTGACACGGCGTAAGTCGAGACGCGTCGCGGGCAGTGACGGATGTGCCTCATTAGTTTCCTTTCTGACAAGAGCATCTATACGATTCGCAGCCCGTCGGCAACGAAAAGGTCGGCCCGGGAATTTCCAAATGTATTGCGGGCCCGTAGATACGTCGCCTTGGATTACCATAACCTTGGATTACTGGGTCTCGGCGTCAGAGGGGCTCTTGAAAAACATCACCTACTTTGTCATGATGAAGATGCCGCTTGTTAACTGAATTTGCCCCGAAAACTTTCTTGAAACTAGGCGTGGTTGGCGCTGTTAGTGAAGATATTAACGGCAGGTAGGAACATTGGTAATTACCCAGAGAAGTACCTACCGATTTTATGAGGAAAAAATCTCGCTCAAAGTGAAAGACTTGCCCCTTTTAAAATTAGTTCACCAGAAATGGTTTCGATAATCATTTGACGGTGTTCCGTCAGCTGCAATTGTGATGAGACCCCTCAAAAAAGGTTTTCGCAAAATGTAGTGACAATAAGAGCTAAAACTATAGTTGCTGTGCACCTTACTTAAGATTTTGAGTAGAGTAATTGTGTTGTTTCAAGCGAAAAGAAAATGGGGAAAAGAGAAGATGTAATTTTACGACATTAAGAACAGTGTGAAATCTCTGGCTGTGACGGAAACAATGACGCACGAGCGGTGTGTGACCATGCACGTCACGGTCTCTATAAACAGAACGTTTTTACTCCGAACAGGGACCAATATTATTATTTGGCGCAGGTCTTGCATCTGTAACGAATGTGCCGGAACGATCGAATTTCAGTCTCAGATTCCAAATAAAATTAGTGAGCCTACCGCGTCTTTTCCTCCTTAACAGAAGATTGAAAAAGCACCCATTAGTCTCGGATTAATGCTTGGAAACTCGTTAACACCGATATTCCATCACGAGAAATAAGGTACGTACAGCTGTCAGCGATAAGGGAGAGTGAATGGAGGTTCAGTGGATGTTATGGATAAAATCCTGCGCCAGATGGCATGATAAAGATGTCCATTATCAAGGACCGTTGGGACGACCTAGGGACAATGGGAACAAAACAATGATCTGGATGATTGTTACAATACGTATATAGCCGAGGTTCTGTGAAGAGGAGATTACTCATTGTCAGGGGCCATTGAAAGTATCCGGCTGAAGAAAGCCAGAGTTAATGGAAAAAGTCAATTTCAATCATTGATCAGATTTTTTTTGTTCAAAGCGACCGGTCGTGTTTTCTGAAAGCACATACATTACGCTACGGTGTTTGTTTGATAGTTATTAATAGTGTTAAGAAAGGTAACCAACTGATTTTTCTAAAAACATATATATTTTGTCAGGTAACTGACTGAAAAGACAGAAATGGTGAAGCGAGCACAAAGTAAAATCATTCCGTCTTGCACACTTTCAGTTAAAAGATTAATAAAGATTGATAAAAAAAAGCACAATCCATACTTTTCAAGTTTTCTTGCAGGTGTTTGGAGATCAACTTGCGATCGCCATTTAAATGAACATGCTGTTTATAAACCACCAAATAAACAGATATCTTGTTGAACAGTTCGAAGTATGGCAATCTCTTTACAGCAGTGGGTAACACTCCCAATTTGTCTCAAAATATATACCGATTCAGATACGATGCCATTTTTGAAATGTTATGTACAACTAAAATCTTTGGTGTCACATAAAGGCCACTGTACATAATACTTCCTGAAGTATACTTTTCCCCTAAAACCTGGTCCCAAATCCATGGAACTACAAAACAAAAAGTACAGGTTAGAAATGTTGTTGCTTAGAAAAGTCAGCTGAGAGCCAGTCTCATGCAATATCAATTGCACGACTTTTGGAATGGTAACCTGCATTTGCAATCTGCAATCTGTCCCTTGCAAATATCTTAATCAAGGTGACCATTTTAGCAGAATTTCTGCTAAAGTTCTTCTAAGCAGTTTCTGCTAAGCAGAAAATCTTGCAAAATAAAGAATCTAACAGATCGCTAGCAGGATTCTGTTAGTATCCTAACAGAAAAATATACCAGATTTGTTTTGAACAAGCTTCGTTGTTTCAAACAAACCTTGCCGTGACGACACAGTATAGTATCATATGGCAGCCAGGCTAGTCACGCGCCTTAACTTCAATGTGCTATATAATGTGACCCTCCGTGTAAGCCACGGCTTGTTGTAATTAGGAAATCTGATAACATCTGCATGTTAGTACATGTTTAAGTGTTTTTAAAGTAATTCTTGTGATTCCAGGAGATTTGTATTTAATCTAGAGGAATTGTGCGATTTTCATCTGATCACTCTTGGTGCTTAGCGGTACCATGAAATGTGCCCGTGGTATAGTGCCTGAGTCAATGTTGATCTATGAATGTCTTTACAACATTATTAGCTTTTATCGACATTTATAATAACATTTTGAAACTCATCTGACATTGCCAAATTGTCCGCTTGGTTGTGAGCCCGTTTGATGGGCGGGAGGGGGGACCTACTGAGCTTATTCAACTTAAATTGTTCCGTGTCTGAACCTGCCTGACTTGTCAGATGCCTTCGCGTGACCCTGTCGCTACACGTTGCCAACAGTCGCTTCAAGCTCTTCTGAAATTCTCGGTATTTGAGCGCGTAGATGATGGGATTGACGCACATGTTGCACAAGACCAGGACTACCGTGACTCGGTGGAAAGTCCCGTCGAAGTCTAAAGACCCTCCCAGGTTGTAGACCAGGTACTCGAGCTCCGTAGGCGTCCAGCAGATGACGTAAGTTGCGAAGACTATGCACAGGGTCTTGGCAACATTTCTCTTGGCTTCCGAGTACATATCTTGGCGAGCGGTAGTCGAGCTCGAGGTGATCGGGCGTGGGGAAGCAGGCTGCGTTCTCCCCGTCGAGTTTGAGTCACTCAAGCTGGTTTCAGATTTTCCTTCTGTGTTTAAGTTGTAAGCACTGGCTTCGTACAGTGCCGATACGCGGCGTCGCTGGTTGAGTCTAGAGATAATGCTAGTGTACGCAAAAGTCATTAAGACTAGGGGTATCAGGTACTCCACGCAGAAGGTTAAGATCCCGAAGAACCACTGCATGGCTCCGCTGATCCATCGAGGCTCGCACTTCCCATCGACTGCGATGGAGACTACGGCCCAGTAGGCTTGATAGGCGAGGCTGAACAGCCATGCGATCAACATGGAGAACTTAGCCTTCTTGCGAGTGAAGTGATTCCTGTGGAACACGGCGTGGGCGATGCAGACGTACCTCTCCATGGACACCAGGAGAAGATTGAGGGTTGAGGTCATGACAAGCACCCACAGGAGATACTCCGAGTACCACAGCTTGCAAAAGATACCGGCGGCAGAGCTGCTCAACAGAGGGCGCCACCGGTCCAGCCGAATGGCCAAGAAGATGAAGGAACTTACCAGGTCAATGAAGGACTGGTGAAAGATAAAGACACTGGTCAGCGAGCGGGTCATTTTAGGGTTGACCAAATAGACCAGGATGACGGTGCTGTTGCCTAAAATGCCCAGTATTCCAATGAGCACGTTGACGCCGGTGAGGGCGGCATGGTCGGTGCTGTGTAGACTGGTGCCCAACGTGTCGATGCCGGGGTGAGACTGGGCTGTTGAGTTGGCCATCATAGTTGTGCGGGAAGGGTTCTCCATCATAAGCAGTCGGAAGGATGACTTCGTGACATGCAACAGACACAATCTGTTGAGACAAAGATCAGTGATGGTTCCGTTAAACGCCATCGCTTGGATACCTTTAGACAAGAGGGTATATAGGGCGGGAATATCAGGGTCTGCCATTGTAACCAGTTAGAAAGATTGCTCTAAGATGCATGTACTGCGAGAGTTCACAAACGATTTAGACAAATGTCAAAGACAGTCCAGAATTTGGTGATCGTACCTAATGCACCAATTGGAAACCTGAGATCAAGAAGAGCCCAATTCTGTCAGTTTGACTGATTAAGTTGGGCCCTACATATGGTTATCGCTTACATAAAGGAATTCCTTGTGTGTCAAAAGAGGGTAAAAGAGGGTCCATTTCCTTACTCCAAACAAACAGTCATCGGGCATTAACCCATCATGTGCATGGGAGATTCCACATTATTTCATTTGACTCTCTTTAATGCATCATACAAATCTTTTTGGTGCAGTTGGGCCCTTTTTTTCTGCATTGGTTTTCCCTTCGTCCCAATCCTTCTCTTTTCTGTCGTACGCCGCAAGTCGTGTCGGGGTATCCTGCACTTCTTTTGTTTTGTTTTTTCTTTCTTTTTTTGAGCCAAAGGTGCAGATTATGGTACTCGTTCAGTTACATGCTGGCTGATGGTGCGCCAGGGGTGGGGGGAATTGGTCACTTTGACAATCAGAATGCTGAGCTTTGAGGAAGGGCAGAGGGAGGAGGGGTGCGAGAAACAATGCAGTGCGCCACCAAGAGTTTGGCATGGAGAGTCCATTTTTCAAGTTTACAGTCAACAAACTATGGCCCATTTAAATGAGTGTCAGTAGACTAATTTGTTATAATTTGGGGCACAGCGTTCTCCCGCCTTACAGAAAACACCAAATTGATAAAAAAAAAAAGGCAAGCAGATACTGGAATCATATGGTAACGAAAATACTGACCGGAAAAACTAACAATTTTAAATGTCCCGCGCTGTAAATTTGTCGACCATCTCCCACAATGCACTGGGAAAAAATTAATTCTGTTTGCTTGTGTGTGTTGCGTGGTTTTTGTTTTGTAAATCTTTTTCATGTTTTTTTGGTTATATTTTAACCAGCCCATAAAAATATTGAGAAGAACGTACGTTACAGAATTATTTAGTTCGCGCAACTACACTAAATTCGTCAGTGTTTTTTTTTCTGTTTTGATTTGATAAATTATAAAATAAAAGAATAACTTATAACGGAGGTGACAAAGATGGTCCTTAATAGTGATTTAGTTTCACAAGGATCTCTTTGAGCAACCGAATTTATTTGTAACGATGCATGCACAAAGTATTAGCGATCGCAAACAATTATGGATGCTACAAAAAAAAACACTTACCTCGTTATTGTCTTGCGGTTCTAGGATTAAACTTTTGAGGCATCCAGTTAAGGCGAGATCGTTTGAGGCGATTGAGATAGAGACGCGTCACACTACTTTATGACACTTCTCAATTGCCAGTATTAGTGCGTTGTACAAATACGATGCATCAGGCAATCTGCACATTGTGCGCCGATATTGATGCGCATTAGTGATGGCTTGAAGGAATATAAACGTCGCCCCGCCCAGCAGTGACTATGTTATTTTGCATATGAATGTATCCCGCTACATTTGCGCACAAGTGTGAAGCATGGCCGTTGGCAGTAAACATTGTTATGTTGTACGTACATGTAGGCATGATGTTTCTGCAATAGGCCGTGTTTTGGGGCGAACGAGGGCGCTATAACAGCACTATTTTCTGGCTACAATCAGTAGAAAAAGACTTTTCTATCGCCAACACGTGGTTGGCACATTTACGGGTTGCCAAACTATGGAAGGCCTTACACTGCAAAAATGAAGAATAGTAATTAAAGATTATAACAATATCATCTGATTGGTGAATATACAAAATAAACGACAACCGCTACAAAATACTTGCTAAACATGTTTTTTTTATTATGTAATAACGGTGTTATGAGGACTGTTTTTGAGAAAAAAAATTTTGCCAACCACGGCTTCAATTTATGCCCCTGCAGCAGCCCATACAAAATGGCGCTCAACGTTTACAAACAACAGAAAGGTCTACAACCTGTTCTTTTGTTTGTAAATATTTTGTATGGGCTGCCAGAAGGGCATTAATTAAAGTCGTGGTTGGCAACAGATTTTGCCCAAATTTGCATTAACACCCTCATTATGTAAGGAGTAGGTGTTTAATCTTTAGCAGCCGTTTGTTGGTTATGTTGTATTTTCAACAATTAAAATATGTTTAGAAACATTAATCAGTCTTTATTTTTGCAACGTTGGCCTTCCATAGTTGTACGTGGTCGACAAAAAAATGCCAGCCACGGGTTGGTATAGAGATAAACGTTTATATTGAAACGTTAAATCTAACAAGACAGGAAAGCCTATAGGAAAGGGGGAGCTGGATACCGTCTTCCCATGGGGGCGCTGTTCAAAACTGACATCATGGTCATTGTCAGACAATAGGTGGCGCTATTCGATTTCCACGGGACGTTAAAATAAACAGCAAATCGCGAAAAACAGGCCCGTTTCGTGACAAATAAACAGAAAAAGGAAAAAGGCGTTTTATGGTTAAACCAGCTTACCATGGTAACTTAAAGAACTGTGTTTTTCTCAGGTTGCTAAATATCCGGGGGGGGGATGCGATGCGCCCCCCCCCCCTCCTCCCATAGCTACGCTGCTGAACAGGTGTGACATGAGTTCATCGTTGTTTATTTTCCCCCACATTTTGCCCGGTTTTGTTTTAGTCCACTTCCCAGTGATCTAGTGTTGTGTCACGCTATCCATGCAGCAATTGCAGTTTCATTTTGTAAAACGCCGAATGCGCGGCACTTGCCAAACAATACATAACCGGCGGTGCATAATATGAGTGACAAGTTTGTTTAGTACGTAGATTCCATTATTCGCGGGTACACAGGCTCGTTCAAGGTTGCTGTTCAGAAATTAAAACCTGTTTCAGGATTTATATTATAGACTTAAATATGCAAAGTTTCTTCTTCTTTTTTAGAGCATTTTAATCTTTTTAATCGGTGGACCCTAGAGTTGCTTTGTTTTGAAATGTGATTTTTCAACTATGGGAATTCTTTTTAAATTTATGTGAATTTTAAAATGATACTTTTAACCTCGACTTGTATCATTTCGTAACCTGTTCTTTGTCAATGCCATTTTAATTTCCCATGTGGGGATAAGAAAGTTTGTTCAATCAATCAATCAATCAATCAATCAATTCATGGCCTTGGAATTAGCGGGATATTATTTCGAAGAAAAAGACTGCGCTTGGCTTATAGTCGAGCTGGAACCGACAAAACTGTTTTTCTTTTCGAATGGTGTCCATTCCCTTTAACAAGTATCGCGATCGGGGATCACTTTCATGACGTGACTGTAAAATAAATATTTCCGGCGAGATCAAGCTGTCACGCAGTGCGATGTCATTGGAGGTCACCCGGACCCATGGATCGAAATCCCAGCGTGCGTTTTCCAACCACATAAGAACCAAAAACTTCGAAGTAAACAAGAACATGACAAATCCGGCGGCAGCCAGTTTCTGAGGTGGCATCTGGCTCGTGCGAGTCTCGCTCAGGTACACACGTACGTACGTACTCCGGGCTTCTTCGACCAATAGGAATACCAAAATGCGTGCGCGCCTCGTCTTTAAGAATGCGTCACAGTACATACGCGTGAGCGTGACACCACCACAGTATAAAAGCTTATAATTCTGTCTCCGGATTCCATTATAAGAAAGCCAAGTAAAGCTGGTCCCAGAGCGCACACATTATTGATTCATAATCCACTGGATAGTCATGCATCTGGTCAGCACAATGGACCAGATTTAGCTTAATCCTATGCGATAACACTGCCCAGCTCATAAGTAACAGTGGGTGAGAAAGTGGGATACCGTGCGTACAGTCATAGCTCATATTGTGGTCCGTTAATTTGTGGTTCACTTGAGGATTTGTAACAGCTCAACTTTACTTCAGCAAAAAAATATATCGCTATATAATTATATTCAGATAATGCAGTCTGTAGCGGACGTTATGTATTATATATTAACTTTTCTTATTATTTTTGTCTTTAACTATCATCTCTAGGTTTAAAAAGACTGCGCTTGGCTTATAGTCGAGCTGGAACCGACAAAACTGTTTTTCTTTTCGAATGGTGTCCATTCCCTTTAACAAGTATCGCGATCGGGGATCACTTTCATGACGTGACTGTAAAAAAGATATTTCCGGCGAGATCAAGCTGTCACGCAGTGCGATGTCATTGGAGGTCACCCAGACCCATGCATCGAAATCCCAGCGTGCGTTTTCCAACCACATAAGAACCAAAAACTTCGAAGTAAACAAGACCATGACAAATTCGGCGTGGGTGAGAAAGTGGGATACCGTGCGTACAGTCATAGCTCATATTGTGGTCCGTTAATTTGTGGTTCACTTGAGGATTTGTGACAGCTCAACTTTACTTCAGCAAAAAAATATATCGCTATATAATTATATTCAGATAATGCAGTCTGTAGCGGACGTTATGTATTATATATTAACTTTTCTTATTATTTTTGTCTTTAACTATCATCTCTAGGTTTAAAAATATTTTATCCTCATTATCTAGCTAGCTCAGACCATGTACATGTACAATGTAGATGTACAATTTAGTGTAAGATCCCTTGACCACAGTCCCCAATCCCTGTACGACCTTGTTTCGCCCAACTCTGCCAGGCCTGGGTGGCGGTCCCCATAGCAACCTCCCCCAACTCCATACCAAAACATTCCCTAGGGTGCCTTTATACTTAACCCTGTTAGGACACTGTCTGTGCTTTTACCATAGTTTTAGCTCCTTTTACTTTTCCCATCATTCTGTTGCTACAGCACCTACAACCTACAAGCCTACAACACCTGCTTTTATACACAGTTAGTTTTACACACCGTTAGATTTACACACAGTTAGACACCCAATTTTGGCAAAACCCCCAGCGTATAGTAAGTACATAGTTTTTCTTCATTTATCTTATAGTTTAATTATTACTTGTTTAATATGTAATTGTTTATTTCCTTGTTTGTGTACCCAATTTACTTTATTCTACCATTTGTATTAGTTTATAATTTTCCCTTATATTTTGTTGTTTTTCAGCAAAACCATCCGTACTTCCGTACTTCCTTCCTTCATTACTTCCATCCTACAGCTGTACATCAAAACTTCATTCTGCAATTGATTCTACTCATCAGTCCTCAACAGTATTTCGATATTGAACTGTAAATAAAGCCTTAAAGGAAGTGTATATTGTACTATGCGACAAACTTCTTCACAACGCATTAAGTCTATAGCTGTAATCGGCTATACAGTCTGTACATGTACATTGATGGTAGAAACTGAATTTCAACATCCCGAGTAAACCTAGCTAATACATCGAACGGTTCTGGGGATATTGCGTGTTAGGCTATGTCCGGCCCCCCAAACTGCACGATTTTGACCTTTTTTTTTTCCTCTCGGTTTGTCTGTGTTCTCAGCCAATTTTACACAACAAATCGATATCTTTGGGGAGTCAGTCAATCAGTATAGCCAGTCAGTCAGTATAGCCGGGGAGTCAGTCAGTCGGGGAGTCGGTCAGTCAGTCAGTCAGTCAGTCGGGGGGGGGAGTCAGTCAGTCGGGGAGTCAGTCAGTCGGTCGGTCGGTCGGGCGGTCGGTCAGTCAGTCAATCAATCAGTTGGGATGGTCTATAACAAGCTCTTCCATTCTCAAGTCAATTCACAAGCTAGCCACTGAACACGACAAAAATTATTAAAAGCATTCCGTTTGTCCAGCGGCCGCCACTTATTATGTGGCGGCCGCCAGATAATAAGTGGCGGCCGCCACATAAGTCGTACAAAAAAAAAATTTCACACGTACCAAAAATATATTCAAATATTTTTAAATGGCGGCCGCCACATAATAAGTGGCGGCCGCTGCACAAACAAATATTTTTACTCGCACCAAAAAAAAATATTCACACTCATTGAGTGGCACTATCCGTCTTCCGTAGTTATTATGGTTTTTTTTTATACACGCACACACGCAACAATCACAATTCTAGATTAAATTCAGGTCGCTTGAATGCATACTTTGATGTGTACATGTACATTGCAGAGAATTGAATGACTGCACGCGTTGTTTAACGCGTTGGCCTTCTTGGGAGACTCGTTTTGTCTACTGTTCCTGTTGTGGTAGGCCAGCTCTAACCAGTTGAGCAAAACATAGTGGATCGCTGCACTACATGTAGCAGAAGTCGTAGTGAAACTGAGTCTGTAGGACCATATCCCTCCACATCTCACAGGGAAACCAACTGGTCATCTCAGCATGGCGATCGGAGTCGGCATGACCATGTCTGGGAAGTGGGCCGGCTGGATGGTCACCTTGTGTGTACTGGTGCAGTTCTTCCTCCTGTTCGGGCCCCTGTTCAACTACAGCATCCTGTTCGTTAGTTTCCGAGAAGAGTTCGGGACAAGTGCAGCACTAACTGGTGAGTACGAGTGACTTACTTCCAGGTGTACTTTTGTATCATCCATCTATCAACTTTTTTTGAGAAAACAGAGAAAACGGTCGCACAATTGTTTGGGTCTAGTAACTGGAGTCCGTTGCTAACGCTCGTTAGAAAACAAATTTCAATTATTGTGTTCGTCTGAATTATTTCAGGTGGAATCATTTCACAGGTATTTGGCAGACTCAGACTGGGACCTAATTGAGTGCTGAAAAACATGCAAAACAAAATCAGGCCAAATTTACTCACTGACAAAATTCTCCAAACTTTTCATGAAGCAAAGACAAGGTCCTCAGTATTTCACCAGCTAAGTTGATGTATCAATTTAATTTTTGAAGTTCTTCAACATTTTGCACCTGAGAGTTAAGCCAATTAAGTGACTTCAATTTGGAGCCTAAGACTAGACTGGTACATGTCCAACTTTTTTTTAGAAGATTGAGCCTTCATGGAAGCATGTGCATGTCGAAATTGTGAATGTGTATACATAGAGATAGGTACTGACTGCTATTCTTGTTTAGACCATGGAGGAAGGATGTTTAGACCAATGCGCAATACTTACACACTGTGCATTTGTCCTCATACATATGAGGCTGCACTTTCAAGGAAGGATTGGCCTTTCACTAAAGTTGGGGGATTGTTGTATTGGTATCAGTGGGCTTTAATGTACTGGTGTGCAAAAGGCTGGGATCGGCCAAACGTCTAGTCCCAAACGTCTATTTTGTCCAGCTATTTGTGGGGAAAAGTTGATTTTGAGAAAATCGAAACCGGGACTGTGTTTTCACTTGATATTCACCATTGAAGATATTGGTTAAAGGCCAAGTGTACGGCAATCTTCTTCTTCTTTTTTTTTGGGGGGGGGGCAAACTCAGTGTAAATTTTGCCTGAAAATTACATGAAAACTAAGCACCTACGTGGTGAAAGTATCTTTCATGGTGAATCCTTGAATTTACCCTACTTAATTGCGCTCAGCTAAGCGACCATTTTGACCACAAAAAAAGCAATTCCATTCTTTACGGGATATTGTAAGGAATGCCTATTCGACCAACTATTTTGTTACTGAGGGAAACTGGTTTGATCCGGTTCGGCCATTTGTTTTGATAGTTCTCTTTAATAAATACTCCATGCAGGAGCACATTTAGATCATACATAAAAGTATACGACTTGTTTGTGCCATGTTTTGCGTGGCCGGGCCAGTACTCTCAGCTAGTACCTGGATATGCTGAATCTGAGTTGAGCATTGAATAGGTATTGAATAGGAATTGAAGTTGGTGGCATCACAGAGTGGGAGTGGCCCAAGTAAAATTGACACCCTTTCACTTAATTGATTGTATTTCTGGATCTAGGGACCCAAATAGAATGGGGTAAAAAGGAGTGGATTGAGAAATTGTCAGGGTTTAATGTAATATATAATTTCATTGAAGAAAAAAAAACCCATTAAACAGTTTTAAGTATTTGTTTTCTGAGTGTTGCACTTTTATTGCACACTCTGTAGTGTGTGGTTATGATACACGAATCCGATTTTGAAAGTAGGGTGACGACTCTGGTAGGCATACCTGGGACAACCACCATACCTGACAGATGGTGTATGAGAAATTGACTGATAGTGCAGTGCATTCTACTAGTACTACAGTATCAGTCACTGTTTGTTACGTTATCGGTTAGTGATACAATATCGGTCAACCGTTGTTACATTATCGGTTGATACGTTATCCGTTGGTTACTATATTATCACTTGTTACAGATGTCGTTTCAGGCGGAAACCTCAATGTTACAGCTACAATGTATTACAGCACTGAAAGTTGCCAGAATTGGATATTTCGATGTCGTAAATGTTCTTTTCTTTGGTGATTCGTTGTTGCGTCAGTGCATACTAGTAAGCCAATGAGCAAACTTTTCTCACAAATATTGTCAATGTTGGTTCACAATTTGAACAGAAAGCCCCTAAACTGAACAGTGTCTTCCTGAGCTGAAATAATAGCAACAGCGCCCCCAGTTGTCCGGAAAAATAACATGGAACTGGTTTTAAGATTTAAAGAAGTGCACTTTTCAATAAATTTAACCAAAACAGGGATATCAATTTGTCCCCCCCCCCCAAAAAAAAGTAGAAGTTGCAAAAAAAAAAAATGTTCCTCGGAATAATTCACTTCATGGACCCTTAAACTTAAAGGAACGCCCATTCTACCATATTACAGTAGGTCTGTTTTGTTGTATCTAAGAATAAGGGTCCCTTATAAATAAAAGTGCATATAGGCACTGCACGCAGCCCGGAGGCGTTGCGAGACCCGTTGAAAGAGGACGCGTAACAAAACAGAAGACGATATCCAGTTGTGGAAAAGGGATCAAAGCCACTGAATTATATTCGGGGAAATCTTGGAATTTTACAAAGCTTTCACAGACTTTTGATTTTCTACATCGCTTTGTTACACCGTGTTATAAAGCTTATTCGTAACAGACCTGAATTCTTCATTTTTTGGGTATGATTTTTCACCCACTCCTTTAGTTGGGGTTAAAGATGATTATTTGTTCAATACAATACAATTAGGCATTTATAAAGCCCCCTTCAAGGAACACAGCGCTGTACAAGGCAATACAAATAATACGTTACACAATGAACACTGAAACTCAATATACAGAACATCAGTAACAAAACGGAGTACAAAGCAATACAAGAAATTAGACAAAAACGTGTGTTTTAGAAGACCTTTGAAAATGCCCAAGGTTTTAGCCTCCCTGATGTTGATGGGCAGACAGTACAATCTAAATGGTGTTGTCGGGCAGTTTCGAGTTTTGAGATGTAACTTTGCGTGTTGTGTAGGCTACATGTATGCCCTCGATTGTTTTGAATTAAATTTCTCAATGTGGCCTTCAGGCTGAATAAAGCCTTTTGTACAATTGCGATAAGCGCAGAAAGAAAATCTGAATGAAATCGAGGCCGTTGAGTTCAGTAGGTGCAAGGGCGGATCCAGAACACAATTTTTTTTGGGGGGGGGGGGGCAAACAAAATTTTGGTCCCCCAAAAAAGTGGGTCAAAAAAATTACGGCTTGGGGTTCGGGGCCCGCTTAAGGGCCCCGAAATTTTTTTGGATTCTAGATGCTCTGTGGTGCGATCTGAGGCAATTTCTGACCACTTTAACCAATGTTTTTTTTAGGAAAAGATGGTGGTGTACTCATTGCCTGCCTTTATTGCGATGTCACATAAAAAAAAAAAAATTGGTTTCGGGTTTTTTTGGGGGCGGGGGGGCATGGCCCCCTTTGGCCCCCCCTGGATCCGCCCTTGAGTAGGTGTCGACACAGCTATTGTGAGACGAGCGAGAGTTACCATGCAATGCCGAGGGAGCACAAACTATTGTGGATGTCTGGTGATAACAGTCGTCGTTGGGGGCAGCAAACAAAACATAGTAAATCATGATGTAATAAACAGGACTCGTTTATACTACGCTGCATCGGGAGTCCTGTTTATTACGTCACGATTTTGTTTGCTGCCCCCAACGACGACTTTTGCACGAATTGCACGTTCGGGTCGAAACAGGACCTGAAAAACAGCTCTAAAAAGTACCTTTTGTACTCATTTCATGACAGACACAATATATAGTCGTTTTTATTTCATCACACCTAATTAGGCTACATATATACCCGAAAAATGACAGAAATGTCTTCGAGCATTCCACAACCTCTTTAAGCGTTCATGTTTATGGGACAAAAATTAATGTGCTATAGTGCACGGGTGCATGAGTAAGTTTTTATAGTGCATGCATACTCCGTATGGCCAATGTTATCACCAGACATCCACAATAGTTTGTGCTCCCTGGGCATTGCATGGTCTCGATCGTCTCACAATAGCTGTGTCGACACCTACTGAACTCAACGGCCTCGATTTCATTCAGATTTTCTTTCTGCGCTTATCGCAATTATACAAAAAGGCTTTATTCAGAAGGCCACATTGAGAAATTTAATTCAAAGCAATCAAGGGCATACATGTAGCCTACACATGTCGTGAGGTAATAGACAGGACTCCCGATGCAGCGTAGTATAAACGAGTCCTGTTTATTACGTCGTGATTTACTATGTTTTGTTTGCTGCCCCCAACGACGACTTTTACACGAATTGCACGTTCGGGTCGAAACAGGACCTGAAAAACAGCTCTGAAAAGTACCTTTTGTAACCATTTCATGACAGACACAATAGTCGTTTTTATTTCATCACACCTTAGGCTACATATATCCGAAAAATGACAGAAATGTCTTCGAGCATTCCACAACCTCTTTAAGGCTCTTGACAGCAAACTGAGGCAGTTGAGGTTATATTTGCATTAATACATAAGCGAAGCTCAAGTGCATGAGGTGTTAGGAAGTTGCCAGTTACGTATCACATGCTGTACTTGACGCACATGGGGTGACAGTCGGCTTAACCCCAGGTGTGTATTTTACCATAGCTCCATGGTTTTACCTAACGCTGACACTTCACGTGCATAAACTTTCAAGTTTGATTCACGTGCATGACGTGGAGTCACTTGTATTAAAGGAGCGCAGTGCGCCCGCTCGCTCTCCACGCAGCCTCGAACCAATGGTACTTTAATGCCAAATTTATTTAAAAGGAAAAAAAATCCTAAAAGAAATTCTCAGTAAATTTGTAGGTTGGATCATTTGTAATTTTGTGCATTTGTTTCGTTTGAAGCAAAGTGCTCAAAATCTAAAGACGGGTGCATCAGAAGTAACCCGCTGAGCTTTAAATCAGTGAATGTTGTTTATTCCGAGAAAACAGTATTCTAGGATCTCGATTTCAATTTAAAAGTTGCCGAGTCATGTTTTGAATGCTGCCCGAAATCAGCATCCGGGACACGTTCTCATTCAGCCGATTTAATTTGCAGCTACGCGATGTCACGCACCGAACCGACAAACAATAGCAACCGCGTGTGCGTCGTGTCAACGCTGGCGCGCACCCATTTACGGATTTGCCGAATTACAAACCAACTACTAACGGACATTTCCGAAAATACGTTTTTTTTACGCATCTTTGGAAAAGGCCATCTTGTATTGTTTTCATCAAGATGACAGCATGCCAGAAGGGACAATTTCACAGGAAGTTTAGTGACATAACTATCTTTAAACCAAGTAAGCTTTTCAACATTAATTTCGTCAGTTACTTTTTTGGATAGCTGCAAATGATCTACTCTACCTTTAAACACTTTAACCTTAATTAAATGCAGCTGCATTTTGATAAGGCAAAACAATTTCTGCGCTAAGTAAGCTTGACTCAGGACTGGATCGAGGACTTGTGATTGACTTGCGACGGACTTGTGTGGAAGTTGTGATTGTCTCGACTGCAATAGACCTTTATCATGCTGCCACCATTTCAGTCATGTTCCCTCTATCCAATAACAGTACTGAATGATAATGTTTTTTGGAAAAAGGAACCAGACTATTTTTCCTTCCAGCCGCGCTTTGGTTATGTTGACTTGAATGGGAAAAAATCAAGATCGCCGCAACATGACAAAAGTCTGTAGAGCAGGTCCGGTGAGACTAGGATAGTTACCCTTATTCGCACGAGTAGATCTGCACTTTCAATATCAGTCAGTTTAGCAAAACTTGACTTCGGTGAGGGCGCCCTATATAACCGGGGTCTAAATTTGTCTTCTTTTTTCAGGCTGGGTAGGCTCTTTAGAAAACGGCCTGCTGAGCGTCTTCAGCCCAATTGGTGGCGTGCTTCTAAAATGGCTGAGCCACCGATCGGTCTGCATGCTGGCACTTACTGTCTTCAGCCTAGGATGCCTGGCCACTTCCTTTGTTCCCAATATCTACTGGGCTTTTTTGACTGTGGGTGTCCTGATGGCATTCGGGTGTGGCGCCAACATGCACAGCGCCACCTGTCTGCTCTTCGAGTGGTACCCGGGCAAGAATAACGCGAGGGCCACTTGCTTGTCTTTACTCGGCACCTCCATAGGTAAGGACGCATGCGCAGAAGCCCGTATTTTTTAAACGAATGAGGGCGCTGTTATGTACGCCACTTCTCGGCTACAAACAGAATTATCACAATTATTAAAGCAATTGATGTACTCTACTTCCATCTCAAAAATGAAGATTGCGACATTGTAATTAATGAATTACAGAACCAGGTAAAATTTTGTCAAGTGGAATTTACGTACGTTTTCAAAATTGCTTGGTTGAAGCGCCCTTATTCTTAAAAAAAAATGGAGCGATTCACAATAAAGTGCGCCACCCACCATGCCAGCCATTTGCCTCATGAATTTAATTCACGTTTATTCCCTGCAGTTAATTCTGTAGTTAACTGTCTTTGCTTAACCACCCAAACGAAACTGTAGACGAAACAAATCAAGCATGCTTCGATTTTCACCAACAAATTCTATCGAGCGCGTGCAGAAAGAGAAAACACTGCATAGTAGGACGGTAAAATGGTAACACAAACTACAACTTGTGATTTTGTATTTAACAAATTATTTTATATTGTGATTTCATATTAAACAAATATTTCATGTTTTCCTGGGATTTAAAAAATAATAATTGGACTTTAAAGGAGAAAACCATATATTAAAAAAAGTGATTCCGCCCGGGTTCGAACCGGGGACCTTTCGCGTGTGAGGCGAACGTGATAACCGCTACACTACGGAATCAGATAGTGAACGTTGTGAAATACATGTATTATAAAGTAATTTTTACGAATAATACTTTTATCTTCTTAACGTATTAAATAGCAGATCAGTATACAAAGAAGCGTGATGTATTATAAATATGCCAATATAATGCTAATCGTCACCGACACCACGAAGTAACACTCTACCGTGTTAAAGCATATTTTTTTCGATTTTCAGTTTTTTGGATTTTTAAACATTATTCATCAAGGCCTACCATTGCACGAAGTTTCAAAGCTTCAAGAGCTTTACTTTATTAATAATTACGCTAAGTATCTATGGCAACTTTTGCGCGAAAGTGACAATTTTCGTTTTCACGAAGTAACACTCAAGTTCCATTTTCCATTGCAATGCATGGCGCGCACTCTGCTCATAAGTGAGCAAAAACGTTTTCACGAAGTAACACTCTTCTTGTAACAAATTGCATGAGCGCGCGCGCGCTGACCTGAAGTTGCACTTTCCTCGTGTTAAATACATTGAAGAGTGTTACTTCGTGAAAACGAAAATTTACAGTTTCGCAGCTTTTTCGGTTTCACGAACTAACACTCATCTTTTTTCTCTTATTTCTTGTTTATTTAATACACAAACGAGTGAAAAACAGCAGATTTAATAAATTCAATTCATCAAGTGTCCACAACGAGAAACCCAACTGAAAAAACTCTGTCGTTTTGACGCAAAGTGTTGTTTTAGAAGGCGTTCAACTTTAGTTGCCGTTTTCTCCGATTGCTAGTTTTTACTGGTATGTAGATGGGTGTTACTTCGTGGTGTCGGTGACGTAATATATACCAATAGGCCCAACGCGTTTTAATGATAGCCGTATTGTATATTCTGTACAAAACAGATAACAAAACATAGGCCTATTGTATATTCTAACAAAACAATATTCTAGGATCTCGATGTCAAATTAAAAGATGCTGAGTCATGCTTTGAATTGGGCCTGAATTCAGCGTCCGAGACACATTCTCACCGAGCCGATTGCAGCTACGCGATGTCGCGCACTGAACTGTCGTGTCAACGACAAATTAAAAACGAACTAGTAACGTACACTTCCAAGATTGCGTCAAAATGACAGCTTGCCAGAAAGAATAATTTCACAGGGAGTTTAGTCCCATTACTATCTTTAAACCAAGTATGCTTTTCAACAAAATTACGTCAGTTACTTTTTGGATTGCTGTAAATGATGGACTGTAGCTTTAATTAAGTGCTTGTTTATTACCGGATGTGTGTTAAAGTTTCGTTTGAATTCTGCAGGTTTTCTCGCTTTTGCACCACTGAAGACCCTTCTCATCGTCCACTACGGCTGGCGCAACATGATGAGAATCGTCGGCGGCGGAGTCTTCATTCTAGGCATCTTGAGCGCCATATTGCTGGTCCCCCCGCCGGCACGAGAACAGCGTCCTGAGGAGGAAGACTCGGCATCCCCGGCGGCTGATACATGCCTGGATGAAACGCAGCTCGAAGGGGGAGGTACGGTACAGTCGCAGGGGACGGCGGACAAAACCACCGATGCATTCTGCGAGGATATGGACGGGAAAACCGAACAGGAACCCGATGAGGACGAAGTCACAGCCACAGACGCAGACATTTACACAGCCACAGCCACATACACAGCCACAGCCACAGCCACATACACAGCCACAGCCACAGCCACAGACACAGACACAGCCACAGCCACATACACAGCCACAGCTACAGCCACATACACAGACACAGCCACAGCCACAGACACAGACACAGCCACAGCCACATCCGCAGCCGCAGCCGCAGCCGCAGCCGCAGCCGCAGCCGCAGCCGCTACGGAAACCGACCTTGACATTAGGACCGCCAAAAAGGGCGAAAAAAGCGCAGGAAACGCTGTGCAACACAAGAAAGGATTTTCAGAGATGATACGTCAGGTTGACGTCTGGCTCTTCATGGCGTCCCAGATGTTTGCTATGACTGGTTGGACATTCGCCACCATTAACTTTGTAAGGAGACTAATAGGAGTCTGTCACCCGTTTCGTATTTATATTTGCATTCCAGAGATGCGCCAAACCAAATATGTATTTGGAATGGCACTGCTAGAAACAAGTAGATGTTTGTTACGATCAGGCGAATTTTGTATTGTTATTCCGTATAGTAGACTTTGAATTTGATCCGTTTTAAGCGACATGCAAACTTGATGCAAATTGTAGGAAATAATTTGGTTTGGCGCGACTCGTAACGCGAATATCGTTTAAAAGAATACTTGATCATTTTGGATTACGACTTTGGTTTTTTCCAAAGCGTAGCCGTTGATCAAACACCAATATAGGACTGAGTCTAACTTCAAGGTAGTCTATGCTTATTGTTCGCACAATAAAATAAAGGACTGAAATAATGATGATGAAGATTGCTTTCACATGTGAAGTATTTAGGACCATTAGAAATGGTGCAGGATACTTATGCAGCTTGGGAAAACTAGATGGTTATATCACCATTTCAGGTGGTCATTTCACCAAACCCATGTGAAATAACCACGCAAAATGGTTACTTAACAAGCAACTTTCTCCGTGCCATTTTCTAATGAGCCATAATATTCCACTACTATCTCGCTATATGCGAGCAGCGTCTTTAGACCGTGGCGTCTGCCCCTCGTAAGCCACGAAATCGGCGTTGTACCTAATCGAACGCACTCATTGATTGCTTTCTTGGTTGGTTCCCTCCAGGCCAGCTTCATGAAGAGCCTTGGGTTTACCGTTGACCAAACTTCCCTGGCAATCATAGTCTTCGCAGTCGCAGAGATCCTGGGGAAGATCCTGATCGCGTCCCTGGGTGACCACTTACCGTTCCTGCGAGTCAACGTGGTGGCGATATCATCGATGTTTGGTGCCATGGCGGCGGGCTTTCTGAGCTTAGCGAAGTCACTGACTGACATACTTATCCTCTCCGTAGGTGAGTTACCACGTAGTGCGAACACAGCCTCAACATTTGTCACAGCGGGTGTACAGTCTGACATTGTGACAGTGTGGCCAACTTAATTTAATAATCCACACGCGTAGAGAGCTGCTCTCCACTTGACGTGTCTACAGGCTTGTAGACCAAGACGACTTTATGTACGAGGAGGCGGCAACCATCAAACAATAAGATTTCAGAATCGTCGGGGGCGTTGCCTGTCCTCGTACAAAGTAATGTTTGATACGAGTTCGGTATAGGGCCTACGTCTGTTGTCGATTTCAGCGAGGTTGTAGAAGTGCTATGTACGTGAACGAAGGGAACAAAATTTAATGACCACTGTCAGTTTCATGCTAAAGTATCACACCGTGTGCTTCGGTGAGAATCGAACCCACGTCCTTCTGTTTACCTGTAAAGACTTTTTCCCACTCTGTTGGACTCCACTAATACAACTTTCCTTTTTTTTAGTTTGCGGCGTCCTGCGTGCCTTATTTCTAGGCATTACCTTTTCAGCCAGCTTTCAGTTGTTTAGCGCCTACGGAGGAGACGCCGTGACGTCACTTGTGCTAGTCCCCTTTGGCGTGGGTTCAGTCATCGGAGCACCACTGACAGGTAAGAGCACCCTCTAGTGTTTTATTCCTCTCAAACACATGATTGTCCAAATTAGCCAGTAGTGCCCGGGTAGACAGAGGTACATGAATTACCAAATAATTGATATATATATATATATATATATATATATATATGCGTGATCAATTGAACAGAAGTTGAGGTCAACAATTGTTAACTTGAAAGTCATCAGTTCACAATATTTTCAATATGTTGTAAATGCGTTATCTTCTTTCGAAACACCCGATTATTGCCCTTGATTCAACGGGTCCAGTCAGGACACTCCTATACATGGTGCCCGCGATCGACTGTGCTATTATTATCGTAAAATCTCGCAGGTTTGGGGGTCAACTTAAAAACAAAAATGGGGGGACGAACCTGTGTTCACAGGAACGGAGTGCCCATCTCTCTTTCATTAGCGATTGGGCCATACTCATATGCTGCTGTGGGGGGATCGCCACACTTCCTCCACAGTGAGTCTGTTACCTTCGCAGCATTGACTAATGCCGGTACCTTAACACCTGGGTTAAGAGGAGAAATTGAAGTAAAGCGCCTTACTAAAGGGCACAACACGCATGGCCACGGCGGGGCTCTAACCCACCTAGCTCTACACCGCTATAGACTACATGTACGTGCCCACACGGTCAACTTTAATACACGCTCTATATAAATGAACTATGCTGCCGATTAAAAAAACGTAAAAGTGAAGTACTTTGCCCTCTTTTTTGCAGGGTTTCTTTTCGACATTTCGGGTAACTACACTCTCAGCTTGCTAGTCCTGAGCGGTGTCTTCGCACTATCGGCCGTCTGCATCCTGACGATAACGCTCCGCGGAAATAGCGCGACTATCGCCTTCTGCAAGAGAAGGTCCACGGCTCGAAACGAAGACCGCGCGCAGAACGTGAAAACCGATGGAGACGACCTGTCCACAAAGTCAGGAGCGGAAAATAAGGCATATATCGTAACTGAGACTCTATAAAGACGAAATACAAACAAAAAAGTTTTATCTTGAGAAAGAAACCACCGTCAAAGCACCTTGTAAAATCATAATATAAAAGTATTGCACTTAATAGTATGCACCATACACATAGGGCCTACGTATATTTTCATGTAAACTGTATATGGCAATAAGGTTATTGATACTCTTTTTTGCATGTTGTTTTTGCGTTTTGTTTTGTATTAATTAATATTACTATGTTTAAAATGGTCAACTGGTTACCCTAATGGTTTGTAGGTGTATCTTTGAAATTGGTGTTTTGGATGGAATTAATATCAAGTAAGATATGGCCCGTATATATTATAAGGTGTGCCAAACCTTCGTGTACCTCGCTAAAATATGTCGTCTTATGAATAAGCGACAGCAAGTGTGCTACATGTGATGTGCCCTTCTTCGGCCCTCGTAGGTCGACCAAACAGCGCCATCTACGATTCGTGCTGATTATGCGTAGCACTGACACGGACTATATGCGAACATTTCACTGCGGTGATTGGACAGTAATAAACTCCCAGGATTAAATATTTTTGAAATACATGTACATAACAAATCTCTATCTTTCTCTGGGCTCCCATAAATTGAAAGCTAATTTGGTTTCTTTAAAGTTGCCCTTGGGATAAGATGTGCAGTTGTTTAACACATAAATAATGACATGCATACTGGGATATATAAATATATTGTGCCAGTGTAATGTTTTAATTATTTTTCAAACAAATATCTCAATAATAATAGAATAAAATATATTGCATATTAATAGTGTTTTACAAATGTATACATGGCTGTGCAGTGAAAAATATAGATTTAAACCAATTTAAACCTTGCGTACAATAATACAGTATTTAAATCAGAGGCGTGGTTTTTTTTTCCGTACACAATTAAAAGGTGCAAAAATAATACCAAAAGCGTTCTTTGGAAATTGTTCGCTTGTAAATGTGTCATCTTTTTCCAAGTCATAACATTTAGGCCTTTATTCAATTGGCTCTCCCACTACAAGATAGACCTGAATCATTATGACGTCACGCTTTGTTTACATGTGCCCTTTTATTATGGGAGCTTGGTGGATCTCGTCCCCACCTGGCTCCCATAGGAAAGCGCACGTGTAAACAAACATGGTGCTTGTGCTCTTGAGCAAGGCACTTGACCATTATTGCTTCGTCCTTCGGATGGGACGTAAAGCCTACGTAGGTCCCGTGTGTTGTGTAATGCACCCAGTAACACCGCTAAGAGAAGGGGTTTGCCCCGGTGTTTCAGGCAGTGGCTGCAATATTCGCTGCAGCACCATGTTAAACCCTTATGAAGGTGTTACAATGGGTCTTACATTTCTCATAACCTTCATTTACCCGTCTTTAAAAATAGACATAATTACCAGCGCCTTGAGTAATTATTATTATTATTATTATTAACATTTAACAAAATAAATATTTGCCTTACTTTGCGATGTGATTTGTGGACAGTACTATCAATTCCCCGTGTACATTATTCCCATCGTTAGTACATCTTCTTTTTTTTGCGGCCATTTCGGAGGAAACTTTTTTTTGTTTTTTGGTATGCTCTGAAAGAGATGAGTATTATGTTATTCATAGTCACTGACTTGACATACCAAAACCCGCCAAGATTGCCCCTCTGCAAACTGTCTGTAGGCCTACTAAATCACACCCGGCTTGGGAATCAAAATGGTACCAAAGGTGATCCCATTATTGACACCTTAGACGAATTAAAAGGCCTCTACGCTTACAGGAATTAGACCCCAAACTTTGGAGCAAGAATCTCTTGGAACGAGTGTAAAACAGGGTCGTGAGGAGGTTATTATAAATGAGGAGGTTATTATTTGTGGAGTGCTGTGGCCTCGTGGTAAAGGGCACTGGATTCGTGGTCTGTGGGTAAAGCTGAGGGTTGTGGGTTCGGGCGATTCTCAATGCTGTGCGCCACCAAGAGTTTGCCAAAGAGAGTTCATTTTTCCCAGTGCATTGTGGGAGACGGTCGACAAATTCGCAGCGCGGGACATTTGAAATTGTTCGTTTTTCCGGTATGATTCGAGTATATGTTTGCCCTTTTCTTTTCTTTGTATCAATATGGTGATTTTTAATAAGGCGGCAGAACGCTATGCCCAAATCTATAACAAATTAGCTCAAATTGTCTACTGACACTCATTCAAATGGGCCATGTTTTGTCGACCGTAAACTTGAAAAGTTGACTCTCCATGGCAAACTCTTGGTGGCGCACTGCATTTTGAATCGCCCGAATTCCGTAAGGCGAAAGTGAGTGGACGACCCGAGAGGCAGTCTAACAGAGAGTAGCACATTTTTCTCCCCCGACGACCATTCGTTGATCATAAGTAAGTTGACTGGCCAGCGGTTGGCAGGGGCCAGGCTAATTTCTTGTCCCCGTTCATGTCCCTGTCGAACGTCCTGTAAGGCGAGGGCGGCCTCATCCGCTCGGCCGAGTAGTTGACCATGGGCGCCACGCCCACGTGATTCCTCTTAGCAAATCGCGTGGAGGTTGTTATGGCGTAAGTGTTGCTACGGTAACACTTCATGGTGGACATGCAGAACAGCTCGCGGCAACCCCTCCGGAAATTCGGGTTGTAGTAACTGTAGATGATGGGGTTGGAGGCACTGGATCCAAAGGCTATCCACACGGTTGCGATGTAAAGCTCAGGAATAGGTGTGTAGTCAGCACTAGCGGCGAACCAGAGCTGTGCAATGAAGAACGGGCCCCACAGCGCGAAGTACACAGTGGAAACGATCATCAACATCTTGACAGTCTTCACTTTGGTGCGGGGCACTGCGTTTGTGGTCCGTTGCAGCGCGCGCCCAGCTCTGATCCCCACGCGCCAAATGTGTCTCACAACCCTCGCGTAGATGACGAAGACAATTAACAGGGGGAGTAAATACTCCACGAACATGACAAAGGCCGTGTACATGATACCACCGGGCGAGTACGCGATGTACGTGTTGCAGAAAGGGTATGGTAAACTTTGATTCACCTCGAAGAAGTAGAAAGTCGGGCAGGATAAAACTATAGCCAGAAACCAGCTGACGAGAATGATCTTTTTGGCCTTCCCGCGCGTGATCTTGAAACTTAGTGGGTACAGTATCGTGTAGAAGCGATCCACGCATATACCCACGAGCACCAGTACGGTCATGCTAGGCGTCATGTATTGCGTGAACCGAACAACTTTGCAGAGCATGTTGCCCAGCAACCACTCCTGGCTGATCACGCGGATCAGGACCATGGGCAGGCAAAACAGCGCCACTAAGAGGTCGGCCAGGGCCAGTGACACCACGAAGTAGTTGGTGGTGCTCTGGAGGCGCCTGCTCCGCTTGACGACTAGGATGACCAGGCAGTTGCCGAAGACCGCCATCAGCCACATGATGGCGGCAGTCAAAACCTGAAGGGCAATCTGCCATGTCTCCTGCGCGTTCGGGTTGATCGGTGTTGTAGGTCCTGCAGTGGATACCACGGGCGTCGAGTTTGTTGGTAGCATCTCGAAGACAACTTGTTATCGATGTCGTTATTATCAAGTCATCATGTTCCGGCCTTAGATCGGAACTTCACGCTCGTAACCGTGGTCTTCCCGACGGCCATTGATCAGGATGAAGCAAAGCTACACTAGCATGCTGTGCATTCTGGAGTATATTATTACGTAACAATTTAGAACATTACATGGTTATGACGTTAGAGAGTTCTTTCGAAATGCATCATCGCTCTTGTTCTAAAAAGCCAATGGCAATTCCCTCTAATGAGCAGACTCAAATTTTCCGCACTGATCACTAAACATTATTTGTTTCACTTTATAGTGTTAATGGGTTGTTTGTACGTGTTCTCGAGTAAAGCAGCTCCGACCTATATCGGCAAGCTCCGGTCTCGATCGGTACCCGTCGAACTTGATTCGGCCAGTGCCGGTCACGATCGGTATCTGTCGGTCGTGACTCGGCTAGTGTTGGTCTCAATAGGTTTCCGTCGGATGTGAATCGGCCCGTGTCGCTCTCACTCGGTCCCTGTCAGTCTTCAATGGGTCCTCCTACCATGGCGCTCTAGAATCTGGTGGGATTCCTTCCCCTAGGCTGCAGCTCATCAATCCCAAGTCACCCCTCGACAATGAAGGGGTTCTTGACTAGAGTAGGGAGGAAGTGCGCCAAAGTAAACAGCCTGTCACCGGCAAATCATATCCGAAGAACAGAGAATTCTGAAACGAAATGAAGTAGGAAGTGGGTGAGAAAATTCAATAGGAATACGCGGCCTGTACTGCTTTTGATCGATGTATAGAGTACACTGCTGAGTAATTTAGTGGATTATGCGCTGATGCTTGGAAAAAGAAGTTAAATATTTATGATGATGTATGTCAAGAACTGCTTGAATAAACACAGCTACGCGTACGTCAATTTTCAACCGTCGCCTTTTACATTTGCAAGGTGACAAAAGGTGGAGCATCATACGTCGCTGTTCATTGACTTTTTTGTTTTAGCAAAAACACTTCTAGCAAATTGTTGCAACGGTAAATTTGTCAGTTATATAATTTGGAACACAAAAAAATGTGGTAGCATGCTGAAATATGTGGAGTGAATTTTAAATTGACATTCAGTTGTTTCTGGCTAAAATTAACATTAAGTTATTGAATTAAAAACACATAGCCTTACTTTTCTATCACTCAAACAATCCTGTTTTAATATGGCGCGTTGAATTTTTTTTGCAAGTTTGATGATAAATATATTGATTTTTTTTTGGGGGGGGACTAAATTTACGGCAGTGATACTTGGTCTCCTTTTTTGGGGCTTGAAACTTATTCGAATAATTCTGTTGAGAACATTGATTTCATATTTTTAATACAAATTTACATGTTGCCAGAAGAAAATCCTACTTTAAAAAAATACCGACTCACTAAAACTCTACCGTATAATTATCTTATCAGGAACACAGTGCCTTCACATCACAACCATATCATCCTATACACAGATTCTCTGTCATGTCTGCTCATGATTATGCCGCCTTGGTCCGAAAGATAAGGTATTTTGGATTGGTTGCCAGGCAACGGTTCTTCTCCCGCCGTTGCTAGGGGCTGTTGCCTCTGGTGCGTATAATGAGGATGACAAGTGCTCGGTGCTTACGAGCGCCCTTTGTTACACACATCTTGAACGAAACCATAATATACTGCCGTTGTTGAGTATATCATATAGCGATATAACTTGCTTTCGCAGCCGTGCTATCAATCCCGACAAATGAGCCGTTCTATAACATCGGATATTGGGCGCTCGAAGTTGATGTCAGCAAATAATCCAATATATGTCGTTCCTGTTTGCTAAGGTCGTTGAAAAAACAACGTGAGACATGTTTACTGCCGCGCTGGCGGCGGGAAAGGGGGAAGGTAAAGTCTGTTTCGAGCAAATAATGGCTCGCCAGGCCGCTGTTTACCTAGCTATAATTTCCGTGGCATAAAACTGTTCACAATTTTCGATTGCCCAAGTCATGTATATAGATGGCATGTCAGTCCGTCGCAGGTGACTCCCAATACTTGTAGTACCCTTTCCTTTCCTAGCTGAGACAGAAGCAATTTAGGTAAAATGTCTTACCTAAGGACACAACACAATTGCCCTGCATGAGCAGCTGGATTTAATCTCATGAACCTCCGATCAAGAGTAACAAACCTTACCCATTAGATAACCTATAAGCTAAAGAATTGGCCAGGGGTCTTTCCGATAGTTAAAAAGTGCAGAGCCCATTACTGGCACTCGCAAGTACAAATCTGAGGTGCATCACGCAGTAGTATAGTGGTGCAGATAGGGAAAATATTTGGGGTAATTGTGTATTTCATGATATACCAGCATGAAATTTCAAGTTGGCGCACAGTCAGAGTATGTCATGATAGAGATATTTGGCTATGGGGCCATCGCAGGTTTGTCCTTTGAAAAACAAATAGGTAGAATAACAAGCAAAATGTAGCCATTTTGAAAATTTTTGAATATTGCTTGTTTTTCTATCTATTTTTTTTTTCAAGGGACTAATCTGCGATGGCCCTATAGCGAAATATCTTTATCATGACAGACTCCGACTGTGTACCCAATTCCATGCTTGTACAAGACACAATCCAATCACCTATCTGCCGTACGGTAGGCATATGTGAAGGGCAAAGATGCGTTCATTGATGTTCAGGCTAAGTAGGGAGAAATTGTGTGACAAAAAAAATCCCCCAAGCAACCGTCATGCATGCACACACAGCAAAATAGACAACTGAAGTTAGACGCTGCAGTATACACCTGTTTTATAATAATATGCTTCCAACGTTTACAATATTTCATTAATTAGCACTTAGCAGCATCATGTTGTCTTGGCCATCATCATTTTAGCTTCCATTATGCGTCACTCGCGTGTATATTGTACTCTTTCTATTATGCAAGGCTTCCCCTCTTTTGACCAACGCGAAGAAAAATTCTACGTAAACAACCATTAACTGTTCATTAAAGTCATTTTCGTGGTTGAAACGATCTTCTTCCGGAAAACACCAGTGTTCTCGAGCAATCGATCGCCTTGCTCTGTTCACGGATACGCAATATTGAAACAAAACGGACGGTATAATTATTTGCAGAACAAAGACTCTTCGGTATCGTTATTTCACATAAGCTATCACATGAATGTTTGGATTTTTGGATTTGTGAATTGTTGAATGTTTGGATTATTGGATTTTGGGGTTTTTCTTGGATTTCTAGATTTGTGGATATGTGGATTTTGGGCATTTGTGGATTTTTAAATGTTGAATTGGTGGATATGTGGATTTTTGGAATTTGCGGATTTGTGGATTTGTAGATTTGTGGATTTGTTAATTTGTGGATTTTGATTTGCGGATTTGTGGATTGGAATTTGTAGATTTCAATCGGGCCCTTTCTCGGCAGTTTATACTTGCTTTGTTCCTAATCTATGAAGAGTACCGTACAGCTTATATTTGTGTTCATTAATAGTTACAAAATACGTCGACCTGATTCCGGCCAAATAACACTTTTAATCTAAACAAATTGAAAAAACTTGACTTTTTGATCATTAACATAGTGTTTTCTCAAAGTCCAAATTTATGTATAGGCCTAAACGAAAAAAAAACAGCTCATGCATAGTAGAATATTCTTTGATATTGACGTCATAATGATTCTTTAGTTTTTTAAACTGACAACGAAATAAAATGCATTTAAATTATGTTCGGTTGTTGCGTTTCTTCACTGCAAAAACTGTAGTGTTAATATAACACCATTTGGTATCTGTATAGGACAACACCAGAAAAAAATTAACATCAGATGGTCCTATATAGATACCAATGGTGTAAATTTAACACTCCAGTTTTTGCATTGTTGAAATGTACTGTTGTGCGGTTCTTGTAACAATGCTGTATAGCTCAGAATCGAATGACCCGAATTTCATATTGAAATGATTAATAACGACATACTCGAGTAAACACACCGGCCGAAAAACGTGCTACATGTGTTTGTACATGCCCGTACTCGCTAAAGCCTGCTTGACTAATAGGTTTCCCCACATCTATGTTTCCTATGTACATGTCAGCAACTGCACGTTCATTAATCAAATAGGAACCATTGGCAAAAACGTTGCCGTTTGCACAAACGACCAAAAAGAAAAAAAAGATTGCCGGGCTATGTACATAACGGTTGCGTTACTTGGGAACGCAACGCGTGAGCCGCACTTTCGATTTTTGTGTGGAAAATCTTGCAGATTGAATCGTTACTATAGTAGCCTTTATGTAAGCTGAAGGCTAACACTGCATAATTGTTTAAAGTGCCTCTCATTAAGCATTGATTTTTTTTAATAGTTCGGATGTGTTTAATAAAATCACAATATTGGCCCGAGATCGTTTTTATTGCTTCTGAAATACGTGTTCTTTAAACACAATGCGCATGCTCAGTACATTCAACAATTCGAATTGGAAAAGTTAACGGTGATAATTATACAGGAAGACCAGAGTTGGTCAACATATGAGTTTTTTTTCTTATTCAAATTTTCACAATTGTGATAAAAATTGTTCTTTCGGTTTCAATTTTTACAGTTGTTATAAAATCGTTCTTTCGGTTTCAATATTACGCATGCGCTGTGTGCTTGTCACCTTTAAACCCCGTTATGGGTGCAGACAGTAAATAGGCCTTTAATGGCAGACTTTTGAGACGTTGGTGGCAGCAAACACACCGGTCCTTTTCCATATTTTACGTCACACTGAGCATGCGCGCTTTAGCTCAAACGTGACGTAAACGCCTTCCAAATTACGATTTGTATATTGTCCACTCTGTTTTTTTTCTGGAGAGTTTTGTGACCTTTGCACTTGAGGTTCCAGACCTCAGATGATCTTTGAACTTATAATGCTGAGAAAATTGCTCTATTTTGCAAAGAAGCCTTGTGGAAGGATTTTTTCTTCTTCAAAATGTCCACTGGGCTTCAGGACTGCTGTTTAGGGGTGATCATCTCCTGAGGAAAAATCACCTAAACGTCATTGGTTAACCCAAAACAAAATTGAACAAAAAGTGAAAGAGGATACAAAAAAAGTTTTAATTTTATATACGTCTTGGACCCTTGTTAGAATTCTGCGTATTTTGCCCCATTTTTTTAATCGTTGGTGCCTATGAAAATTTATTAAATGGTCTTCACCTTTATATTGACGTAGCCCTTGTATACCAGTGCGCATGAGACAAGATGGCGCCCATGGTCTCCCAATAACTTTGTTCCATGTTTCTCCTTTTCACCGCTGAGGGGGTAACTGTGCACAAAGTCATAGATAAACCAACTCGATCTTCACGTCGATTCTGGGCTATAAAATAATAACACTAGTGTACGTGCCTTGGCCAAGGCAACTGGATATCTTATTCTCATTTTCAAAAGGCTGTCGCCAACGACGAAGAAAATGTCACCTAAATCAGTCAATCCACTTTATGTTAAGAACAACGGGGAAAAAAACGAGAGATGCGATCACTAAAAGAGGTCATAACACTCGAAGTTCAGGTGAATTTAGGGGACAAATCCATCATGATTTTTTCTTCTTCTAAATAGAAACAGACTGTGTTTCACCATTTGATATTTGTCAGTGCGTGTCAGGACAAATCAAGCGCTTACAAGACAAGTACGCAATTCAGGGAGAAAGTCTTCTTAAAAGGTATACGCTGTCCGAAGGATCTAAGAAAGTTAAGACGTTTTATACATTTATCAACCTCGTTGTCAAGTGAATAAATACGAGGGACTGAGTGGAGTGGCTTCGTGCGGATAAGTGCATAATGTTTGTGGCGCATAAAATGGATGCAACTCCTGTGTGTTACCAAAGGTGGATTAGTTGATTTGTGGGTCGTTTCAATGTTTTGAAATCTCTAATAAGCCAGCACTATTTTGTTTGTCCAAGTAGAGCATTATGTTTATCATGTAGCGTGATCTACATATATATATTTTCCATTAGGGGGAACTGAAAATACTGTTAACATTTTGTGTATTTCGCGACAACATTGTGGAAAATTTAAAAAAAAAAAAAAATAAATAAACGTTTGCAGCCATTGAGCCAAGGCAACTACATACATTGTATTTGTAAAAGCAAAAATCGTTTAGGACGTTAATTTTTCAATTGTGACAACCGACAAATATATTGGACTGCCAAAATTTAAAACTCTGTCAAATTATATTTTCGTTGAGAACCGTCGGACAACAGTGCTGTAGCCGAGTCCACCACGCAGGTACCTTCATCAGTAAATCAAGTAAAAGTCATTTCACAAGTCCAGTTACAAGGAACAGGGGACGAACATTAACAATTAAAGTAAGGAATGGCTTTGGTACAATTCTTTTGAATTGCCTGTGACCTCACTGGAGGACTTTTGATGGATTTGTGAAGAATTGTGAGCACTAGTGATGGACTCGAATACAACACTGCCGGATAATTCTTATATTTTAACATAAATACTGGTGATACTTTTACATAAACATAAATACCGGTGCGAAAACATGCCTATACGGGTGGAGCTAACTATTACCATCGTGTCTCATAATTTTTTATTTGTTTTTGCTCCATGACCTACGTGCGCGTAAGCTCTACGAGACGTTCAAAGGCTGTATCTTGAAAGACAAATACGTGCCGGTATTTTTAAATATCGCGATAACACTGATTAAACACATAGAGACAATTTGAGCAAACAAAACTGTCACGGATCCACTGATAAGGACAAAAGACGAACGTAATAATAGGCCTGCACTGTACGACGAAATGCAAATGAGCCATGTGTATCAATATTGGCAGGAGCGATGAATATAATGATATGAAACAACGCGCAGTCAGCCGTGTTATTAGATCTCCACAGTATATCAACCACAATAGTACGGACGAAACCAGGCATGTGAACACTGTACACTGATGAGGCCCACTTCAATGGAGAAACCATTTTGCAAGTGATTGTGCCAAGCAACTGCCCTGTGACGGACTAGTTGAACAATAGTTAGCATAATGCTATCGCCATTGAAGGGGGCCTTCGTGATAGAATTGATACCGTGCTGGGGTTGATCGTCTTAGGAATAGCAGATATACTCTTGGAAGAATGATGTGTAAAATTAATAGTCAATCTAAGGAATACCGAAACCTTTTCCCCAAGGAAGCCATTTTTGATCGTGCTCCTCGAGTCTCCATTGTATTTTATATATTGTAAACCGTTGAAAGGGACGGTGCCAGACTATTTTATGATCGGAATGAGTGCCAAGCCTCACTTTCATTTTCTTTTTTAAATGTGGCTTAATGATTTACAGGGTATGTTTAATCGCAAATTTTAAATTATTCATTAGCGCAGATCGGTATTAATTTGTAATGAATCTTTATTTCATTGCTTTCATTTTCCACTCGCGCTGTCCAATTATGAAGAGTTGACCTCGCTTTCAATTTAATATGGCCGACTCATGACTAAAGTCTATTGCCCGCGTGCCACCTCACTGCCATAGTTCCTAACGCTATATTACTGCAAACAAACTAGAGGTCTAGTTTTTTTTTATCCCGCGTACTGCATCTCTTTGGATTTCTCCATACCAGAATCACCCTTCCCTTCTACATTCAATCTCTCACAATTCAAGCGAAATGTGATTAGATAAATTCTTTCTTTTATTGTCTCTTCTTTCTAATTTGTAGCCCACACAGTTTGAGTGACCTTGGCCTTGTGTTTGGGTCATTCCCATACAAAATATCTCATCTTATATTTTACCGATACTCTTACCATTTTATCGCTTATTCAGTTTACCACGCGTTCGATATCACTTCAACATGTGAAGGTTGTTTGTTAGCCTATAGTATATCCTTGCTATAGGTTTGCGGGCCTTTATGTTGTTTTGATTCGTCTTGACGTCAATGCTGAGAAAATCTATGAGAATCAGATATCGTATATGCAGACCTCGATTTGCATTGTGAACGCTCCTGCGAAATGAGTCTTAAAGTCGTTTTGATAACGAATTTCGTTTTCATGCTCTAAAGGAGGTTGCCACTATTACTCATTTTGACATATCGCTTAGGTCCTTAGCTTGTATAATTTTGCCAATTTGTTTACTTGATTGCCGATAAGAGTATCTATGGCGCTCTAAAATTAAGTCGTTTTTTTTTAAAAAAAAAAGGCCCCCTTCTTTTATCGGATCGGGTTGCAATGATTTTTCTCAGATCCTTAAGAACTCATTCTATGCAATCTTATATTGAAACCGTATCCCACAAATTTAGCTCAGTATTTTGCGATAAACAAACATCTTTGATGATAATCAGCAAATCTGTGTATCATTTTTGTTTTTGCTTTTGCTAATATCTTAACATCACTCTGCATGTGTGTGCAAAAAGGTGTGGAATGACTGGATCATTGATTTTCATATATTTTTCTATGATAGCCGTCTGTTAACATTCCTTCAATTGGTAAAATTAAATGACATGATAATGACATTCAAATCAAGTGAAAATAAAGTGTGGTTATGTAAATAAAATGGGTGAAATTGATATATACTGAGTTCGCAACCATTCCTTCTCTGGTTCTGTTTCAGACAATGCAATAATGTCTCTCATAAATACATCTGTTTTCTGATATTCTGAAAATACACAAAATTATATCGTTTTATTCTTCAGAAATCGGGGTAATAAACCATTTTGAAGCAACTTCGAGATTACCCAGGATTTAAGGGTAAAAACCCAGCGTGAATTTACCCATGCATCTCAAACACAACACCACAAATGCAACGGTAAGAATTTTATTACCATTTCTGAAGCAGTTTAGCCCGTTGTTTCTGATGTAATTTTAACGGAGCATCGATCACACATCGCCTTGCGTTGAATCCATCAGCAAATTGCTCTATGAATGGCGGAGAAATGTCTCTCACTATCCACAACTTGTAGCCCGAGTGACGAACTGATGATGCAGTCTTCAATGGTCCACTTATTCATATAGCTTTTGCGATCAGACAGTAGCATGTGTACATGTACAGCACACATGCATGACATAAGCACTTCATGTTCTCATAACATCGCCGAGGCTTAGAGGCTAGACTATACTGTTGTCCTTTGGCTGTCAGAGGCGAGCAGACATCGTGTTAATGTTGTTGACAGAGAACTCTTAGTGTGGCCAACCCTCCTGGCTTGCTACAGGAAGCAGGAGGATTGTCTATCAGACAGCCCTATACTGTACATCATTGACTTTTTGCCGGAGCAGTGAAGAGTGGCGCGCGCGCTCCACGCAGATGCAAACGTCAGCGCGCGCTCATTATCATAATTACTACATATCTCGTGTGCGTGTGCCTTGCCGGTATGCCAATTATAATCGCTATTGTTAGTTGTTTTGGAGGTCGTACTTATAGTGAAAGACATATCCACCTAATTGTATCGATAACGAATGTATCAATTTGAATAGACGAAAAGATGAAGGCCTAATTAGATTTAAAAAATATATATATATATACATGTAAGGACAGAAGGGGAGAATTCAAGAACTGGGCTTGTTATAACAGCAATTCCTTCCGTACCGTGCGCATCCAATAAAGATGTTGAGGCAGAACAAGCAAGGGAGTGGCTATGAATGGCCATGATGTTAATCTCTGATATTAGGAAACGCGGAAAATGATAAATTAACCTTAACTTCATCCTTTGGGCCATGGGAGTCGCCAGGATTTTTTTCCGGGGGGGGGGGGAAGCAAAACAAATGTTTATTATAGTACGTCAATTTATCATTTCTCCGAGCGTGAGCAGGGGAGCATTTGCACCCACCCATCAAATTAACAGCAGTATGGCTTTGCATCTCTTTTTCCTTTTTTTTTTTTCATTTCTCCTTTTTGGCGAGCTGCGAAGCAGATGCGAGCCTATGTAATACCAATTTCCGTCCGTCTGTCCGGGCGCCCGTCTGTCCGTCCGTCCGTCCGTCCGTCTGTCCGGCCGTCCGCGTTCAGATAAAAATGTTGAAGTTTTTGGTTCTAGTTAACTTGGGGAAAAAAATTAAATGCAGTTGTCATGTATCATCTTTATAACTTCAGTTAGGTTCATATCATTGCAGTAAATTTTATGATTTTATTGAGGAATTTTAATTCAAGGAAATGTTAAAGTTTTTAATTGTTACATGTACATGTATTCTGGTATAACATGTACGTGTGTGTATACCGGTATAACATGTACATGTACACTATGCATTTTGGGGATGTGCATGAGCTTCTGGTTTGATCTTTTAGTTTATGGGGTTGGAGTAGGGATGGGGTAGGGGAGGGGTGGGGTGGGGTGGGGTGGGTGGGGTGGGGTGGGGTAGGGGTAGGGGTAGGGGTAGGGGTGGGGGGGGGGGTGGGGGTGGGGGTGGGGGTGGGGGTGGGGGTGGGGTGGGGGTGGGGGTGGGGTGGGGTGGGGTGGGGTGGGGTGGGGTGGGGTGGGGTGGGGTGGGGTGGGGTGGGGTGGGGTGGGGTGGGGTGGGGTGGGGTGGGGTGGGGTGGGGTGGGGTGGGGTGGGGTGGGGTGGGGTGGGGTGGGGTGGGGTGGGGTATAGGGTTGGAGTTAGGGTTTGTGTGAGTAGGATGAGTAGGGGAGCTAGGATGGGTGGGGCGGGGTGGGTTGGGGTGGGGAGAGGGGTTGGAATACTGGGTTTGGGTGGGGTGGGGATTTGTAGGGGTGGGGTGAGAACAGGTAGAGAGAGACAGGTAGGGAGAGGATGGGCATGGATATAGGGGTTGGGTTAGGAGGGGGTTGGGCAGGGGGCGGGATATAGGATCGGAGTAGGGGTTGGGTTGGGGATGTGTAGGGATAGGTAGGGATGGGTTGTAGGGGTTGGATAAGGGGAGGGGGCAGTATATAGGGATCAGAGTAGGGGTTGCATGGGGTCAGGTGGGGATGTATGGGTGGGGGAATGGGGTGGGCGGGATATTGGGAATTCGAGTAAGGGTTAGGATGGGGATGTGTAGGGTGGGTAAGGACAGATAAGGGAAGATAGGGTAGGTGGGTGTAGGGGGTTGGGGTAGGGGAGGGTACGGGTCAGGAGATACGGATTGGAGTTTGGGTGGGGTTGGAATGTGTAGGTGATAGGGTGGGGATGGTTAGGGGAGGATGAAATGGGTGTGGGTAGGGGGTTGGGTGGGGGAGGGGGCGGGTTGGGGATGGGGTAAGGTTTTGGGATGGGGTAAGGTTCGGGGGAGGTGGTGATGGTGCTGTGTCTACATGTACATGTATACCCATTCTTGTTCTGCATTTGTGGCGACTACACAAGAGTTTTCCCATGGTACTACAAGTATGGGGACCAGAAGACACTGTTGGGGCTGCAAAAATCCACAAGTGGGTCCTAATTACCCTAACAATGGAAAACTCCCCCATAATACAGTGACGGCTAACCTATACATATGTATTTATTAGGTAATCTGTTAACTTTATATGTTGACATTTAAAAACTGACCCCTACACCTAGGCACATCAACAAGAATCCTGATCCCCTTTCATCATGCCCATCCTCAACCCTACCTTCAGCCTCCCTTCCTGCCTTGGACAGCGAGCCATGGCGGCTTCGCCGTTCTAGTTTTTTTTGGTTTTCGGGGGGGGGGGCAAGTGCCCACTCCCCCCTCCCTTGCGACGCCCATGCTTTGGGCTTACTCGAGTTTTTTTTGGTTTGTTTGGTTGATTTGTCTTTTTCTAATTTAGATGAAGCCACACTTTCATTGGCACGTTTAGGCCTATACTATAAATTTTAATATGTTTTGAATATTAATATTAACAAAATCAAACTAAATGATAGACCAACACAACAGTGTGGCAGCAAAATTCATAACGCGGGGCACTTTGTTCTTTGAGAACCCCCAATTAAGAAACTGAACTGTTGAGATGATCAGTGGAAATCACACAAGAACAGTTGTGTATTTTGTCCTTGATCCTGATCAATTCTCAGACAGTTTATTACAAACTCACTGTTTTTTTCTTCAATTCCCAAGTTTAAAGCATGCCGTCAATTAAACATGCAGGTTTTCGTGTTTGCTTTGCAAATTCAGTTCAAATTCACTTAGTGTAATTTAAGGATTTTTAGAATTTTCACGGTGGATAAGAAAGCCTGCAGTGGGTGAATGATCCTATATGTAATCTTCGCGTTTAATTTCCCGCTTATTTTGGCATCAAACTACGATTTCAATTATTAGTTACGAGTGGCGTCGCCAAGGGGGGGGGGGGGGGGGGGGGGGGGCAGGGGGGGGGGGGGGGCAGGGGGGGGCAGGGGGGGGCACGTGCCCCCCCCCCCCCCTGGAAAACCTAGTGCCCCCCGAGTGCCCCCCATCTGAGATTTGGGTTGGTAAAAAAATATATATATATTTTGTTATATTCAACTCCCATCATCTGAGTTGGATTTTCATAAGGACAAAGAAGCACAGTAATTCGTATTTTCTTCAAAAGAGCATCAAATGTGGCACCATTTTGCATCTAGCCCATCCTCCGTATGCGAACATTTTCCAAAGGGGAGGGGGGCACCCCCTCCCCTTAGACCCCTCCCCCAGGACGGCGATCCGTATCCACCTAAGTGCCCCCCCCCCCCCATCAAATGCTGGTGTCCCCCTGTGCCCCCCAGACTGAAAAGTCTGGTGACGCCACTGTACAGGATCTGGCTTTCTAAACAATACACTCGAACCTTAAAAAGTCCGTAACAAATTTGAAAACAAGCTATATATATATATAGACTTTCCAACTGAATTACTCAAACCTTAAAATTCCATTACAAATACGAAAAAACAAGCTGTAATAATACAGCTTGTTTTTTCGTATTTGTAATGGAATTTTAAGGATTAACCATAACATTTGACACAACACGTTTGAAAATTGATGTGAACCGTGGAAGAATACATTTAATATGATTAAAGAAAAGAGGTGCTTAGAATTACGAAAAATTCATTTCTACAAGAGGGCGCCCTACCGCTGGTCAGCACAGTAAACACTATTAAACAAAAATACAACACTCTAAGTTTATTGAGACGATAACTCAAGAACAACATATCACATTGGATTGAAATTGCGAACATTTATTACCATAAGATTTGTCACAACCCGTTTGAAAATTGACGTGAACCGTGGAAGAATACATTTAATATGATTTAAAGAAAATAGGCCTAAGCGTTTAATTTATTTACGAAAACTTCACTCCTTATTTTATTCTCTTTTGACACTCTTTGTTGAGACGATAAGTCAAGAACAACATATTGCATTGGTTTGAAATTGCGAACGTTTTAATATTAATCATAACATTTGACACAACCCGTTTGAAAATTGGCGTGAACCGTGGAAGAATACATTTGATATGATTAAGGGAAAGAAGTGCTTAGAATTACGAAAAATTCATTCCGAATCTGAGTCTATTTTAATTGAAAAAAATGAAGCTCTCTTTTGGAGACAGTAACTCTAGAAAAACAATTTGTTCTCAAACGAAACTTTGTTCGAAAATAAGTGATGTAATGACAGAAAAAGTGGAAATCGACTGGAACCGTGATAACCAACGGCCAACAGTGCATGTGCCAGATTTTGCTACCCTCTATGATTTGTTTCCTTAATAAGTTCCCGTTTTCACTGTGTTTAAATCTCCAACGGCCAGACGTTGGAGCGCGGTGAGCAGTGTTTGTGTAGCGCGCCCTCTTTTATAAGAAATTGTTGCATGACGACGAAATACGGAGTGTCATTCATGCTGCAAATTCCTTAAATTATATCACATTCATTCTTCGGCGGTTTCTGGCAATTTTCTAGAGTTTCGTGTCAAATACAATGACAAAATTATAGAAGAGATGTCATTGCAATACAATGTGTTAGTTGAGTTCCCGTTTTCACAATAACTGTGTTTACGTCTCGAACGGCCAGACGTATGTACTTTACACTGCAAATTCCTAAAATTATGTTTCATTCATTCTTCGGCGGTACCTGTCAATTTTCTAGAGTTTCGTGTCAAATACCGTGACAAACTATTAGAGGAAATTTCATTGCAATAAAATGTGTTTATCTTGAGTTCCCGCGTTTTCGCAATAACTGTGTTTCCGCCTCAAACGTCTCAGACGTCTGAGAGCGGTGAGCAGTGTTGTATAGCGCGCCCTCATTTGTAAGAAATTGTTGCATTAGGATAAAATACGGAGTGGCCTTTATACTGCAATTTCCTTATTGATTGATATTACGTTCATTCTGCGGCGGTTCCTGTCAATTTTCTAGAGTTTCGTGCCAAATACCATGGCAAAATATTACAGGAAATTTCATCGCAATGCAATGTGTTTATCT